TTGCTCGTTATGCTGCAGACATGCTGTCTCCTTGGTTTGTAGAACACCTCACACAATTTATCACCTCAAGGCTTTTCTATACACTTGCTAGTCCCCTTTTCAGGAAAGCTCTTCCATAGATTCTGCACATATGTGCTTCCTTCTCATCCTTGACACTCCAGCTCAAATATCAATCCTCAGAGAATCTTTTCCCTGAGCAGACTTTCTAAAGTAACCCTTGCCCCAGTTACTGTCTGTTCTATCACCCTATTTACCTTCCTTCTAGTATTTACAATAACCGGAAATTATCCTGTTTATTTATATAGGTACTTGTATATTCTTTGTCTCCTTCTCCAAGCTCCGCTAGAATGTAAGGAACCAAGTGTGTCCTTCGCCACTATGTCTTCAGTGTTCAATACTTTACCTGAAACAGAATTAACTTCTATATATGTGTTTAATGGATGGGGAGATGAATAGAAAAATAGGCCTTAGAAACCCTCTTACTCAAATCCCTGTATGCTGAGTATTCTCTTAGCACACTATTTCTAGGAGTCTAGATGAGGGAGAATTCTTTTTCCTAGAGACAGAGAGATGCCCTCACTTTCTTGCAACAATGGGCACACTTTACATTGCCTTCATCGTAAAGTCCAAATTCCTTCCAACCTGTCTGTACAACTTTATCGTCCACCACTTCCTTCCCTATAGTAAGTTCATGGTACACTTAGCTTCATACCATTACATGAAAATACCACTCATGTTTATGTTACCTCTCTTTGGAATGCCTTTCTTTCTCCTCCTGCCAAACATCCTTCCAGATTCCCTCTATGAAGCTTTTCCTGGTGGCCAGAGAGGCTATTAGCCTGTAGTGTCACAGGCCTTTATACATACCTCTACCATATTTATTCTAACAGGTGACAATCCTAGGACTAATTTTCCCCATTTTACTCTTAATACTTTGAGTAAAAGGATTATGCCTTATACTTATCCCACTAGTGCCTAGCATGGTGCCTCATAGAGATATATACAGAAAAAAAAAATTGTTGACTACTACTATATATGAATATATAGTTAAGGATTTTTCATTATGGTATTTCTCAGTGGAGTGAAAGGCACTGGAACATTTTAACAGTTGTTATTCTGTCAGCTATCTGCCCATCATTAATGAACCAGTGGGAGAGGTGATTTTTAATTTGTAAAAAGGAAAACTATTTCAACTAGTTATGGCTTGGTTAATAAACCATAGCTGAAAATTCTGTGTCCAAATAGGCACACCAATAGACATACTCAACCTCTTCATGAACACTTTTTGATTTTTAAAGAAATGAATTAAATTTTCAGGGCATAAAAGAAATGAGAAGTAACTAGCATTATTAGGATATTCTGTAGCTTGGATTTTTTTTAACTTAGCATAGGCCATAGATAGCACTTCTTGGAACTATTTCATGTATAGTTAATGTTTACTTTTGTGGTAACACTACATTAATCCCATTGACCAAAAGCAAGGTATAGCAGCTAGAGTGGCTGCTGGTGGATCAGCACCACGGACAGAGGAATGGCACGTGAAAGGTCGCTCTAAGGCAGCTTGTAAGACAGCTGTGATATCAGAAAGACTGGTGTGAATGTTTCTCTGGGGATCATTCAAAGACAGTGGCTTATTGTTAAAACTGGAGGGGAGAACATGAGAATTAATTCTACTTTTTTATGTTTGAAAATTTCCATTAAAAATATCCATGTGTGTTACTGAGAGGCCACCAAAAAAAAAGAAAGAAAAAATTACTCCTAAAGACCTTAGGATCCTACATGTAAGAGATAATGAACAATAAGTCCCAGTACCCTCTGTTCCAAGTGGAGTTTTGAGAAGGCTAGGCTGTAACTTTCCCATGCACATGAGATTTGTCTTGCGGAAGTCGGCGTGATGGAATAGGAAGTTCAGACGTCTATAGATGATCAGTTTCTTGAGGAGCAAGATGTCTCAGGAGAGCAGTTTCTAAGAAATGAAACCTCTCATGCACTGTCCCTGATAAGAAGCAGCTGGGGGCCGCGGCCTAGGGTTGCAGGGAATGAGGCTGAGTGTAGGAGGTGGTTGTGAGAGTGAGCCCAAGGTCCACACACTGAAGTTCTGGGTGGGCCTAAGGTCAATACACTAGTTCTAAGTCAAAACAAAAACAAAAACACTGTTTAAGTGTTCAATGGGCTAGATAAGTAGAGGGAACCGAGATATAACGCCAAGCACATTAGAATGGAAAGGAGCTAAAATATGAAAAGGGTGGAGAGGTACAAAAGGAAGACGCACCTAAATATTTTGTGTGTGGGGGGGGTACCACTAGGGATTTTTCATGCAGCAGCCATGTCAGAAGAAAATAAGAAGCCAAGAGAGAGGCCGGTGGATAAAATAAGAGAATGAATGTAAGCACACTCATGGTAAGAACCATTCAGAGACTATGGATGGCAGGTAACGTTGAGGGCCTACTATGTGTGAGGCACTGCTCTAAGTCCCCAGAGAACATGACTGAAAAAAAAAATCCAGCTTTACTGAGCTAACCTTCTGGTAAGGGAGACAAATAAATGTATTTGCCGGGCGTGTGAATTCCAACTGGCTGTTTCATTTAGGCAGAAAATGTGGCTTCCAGTTTGCTGCAGTCCCCACCATTCCCTATTGTCTTGCACTCTGCCGACTTCACTCTTTTATGTCATCTGCCTGAGCTCTGCAGGCTTGTGAGTTTGTGACCCATGCTCTCCAACGCCCCTGGGCTGCTTGTGACACTTGTCTCTCCTGAAACCACCAAATGGCCCAACAAGCATATTAAAGACCCTATTCTTAGCTGAATCCATATCCTGGGTTGCCACTAGTCTGAAGTAACGTTGGGTGGTGGAGATCTCAATGTTCTCAACTGTCAAGTGGAGGCAATGGTATCTGCTTTATGGGATTGCTGTGAGGACTAGCCATTGCCCCATCAGCTCTCACTCCGTCTTTGGATCTCCTTCTTATCACTACGTCTTCAAAGAAACCTTCCCAGCTGCCAGACTAGCGAGGTCAAATCCCTCTAATCTACACAGCACATTCCTCTTCGTGGTCCTGTTGCAGTCACAATCGTACTTTAGCTCGTGGATTACGGGATTAATGCCTGCCCCTCCCAGCAGGCTGAAAGTGCAACAGTGACGAGGGCTGTTTTCACTCGCCACCTGTCATCACGTGTGGCCCAAAATAGATGCTCAAAAAGTACTAACGAGAAAGAAAGAAAGAAAAGTAAACTGTGCAAAGACAACCCCTTTGCACACATTGGTTGCCCGACAGATTCTCTCGGACCTTCCCTGTGACGTAGACGCTACTCCTAGCTTCTGGGCTGCTAGGATATGTAGGTCGAATTTTAACTAGATTTCCGCTGAAAAAGAAAAGCCACTAAGCTTTCTTTTCTAATAGGCTACCGACCCCTAAACAGGGCTTTTTGTTTTGCCCGCTGATGTATGCCAAGTGCCTAAAACACTGCCCGGCACCTCATCAATAAAGGAACAGATGGATGGGCAGGCAGGCAACGCTCCGAGTTTCACAGAAGTTGGGAGGCGTCAACAGCTCCTTCTAGCACCACAGTGGCGGGTGGGGAGGAGGGGCGGGGACTCTGGGCCAGGACCGCCCCCCCCCTTCACGGTCAGCCACACCAGATTTTCCCAGAGCGTGCGACAGTAGGACCCCCAGACGACAGGGTGTTCCCGCGCCACCCCTGGGGCCCTGATTGGAGCTGTTTAGA